TATATCACAATAATTGAAGGCATATAGGGGTTCCAGGTTAGGAAATGTATTTAGTACAAAGATGTCACTTTTGTGTGGTAATTCTTAAAAAAGTATTGCTAAATATTGTGACCTAATAGGTATCTGCTAGCTGGCAGAATCACAAAAAGATCAGAAACATGCTCTGCTCATTAAAGATTTCCAATATATCACAGAATATTTTCATACAGGTTATTGGGAGAGAGGCGATAGTTTTGCTAAACTGTATCATGATAGTCTAAATCAGAGATATGTAGCCCCTAAAACCTTGTATATTACCCTCCAGATGTTATCACCAAAAAGAAAATGGATAGGTATACAAGAGTAACATTATTAAATAAATGACAGTTTATACATATTAAAACTATATCAAACATGGTTTTTCCTAATGTTATGCATATCATTCAAATAACACATATGGTCCTTAACTCAAAAAATGTATATAACTGGTCTACTGTAGTTTGTAGCTGGACTTTGAAGATGGAGGTTTAATATGAGAAAAATATGAAGAAACCCCATATTATATTACAGGAAGAAGTGATAATATTTAGAGCCCAATAGTCACTTTACAAAATCCACCATTAAATAAGAGAAAAAGGCGTTTTTCTTGTTTGCATCAGTCACATATTATAAAGTGTTTTATTAAAGAATGGAACAAGCCTTTTTTCTTGTTTTGCACTCTAGTGAGCAAATGGTTTTGACAACATTATGCAAAATTTGCAGTTCACCGAGTGGATAATATTGCAACCAGATGTTGATATTGCAGATTAAGCTAATGTTGGCTACAGCTCACTCCAAGTACAAATGTGTTAAGATGTACACTCATGTACTACAACTTTCACTGCAGTGTAATAAAAAACATCAGTGTGATCTTTAAAATGAAAGAGGAGGGAGGAATAGGTGTTTATTTTTTCTAAAAATCATGAATTCAGCCACATGGCCCATCTAAGACAGAAACTGAAGAGGTATATAGAAACACATCCTTGTTACACAAACAAACAGGAGTGTACTGCATTAGCAGTCAGCTGGACTTTAGGAATGTTATGTTTTTGAAGACTGCCTATTCCTAATTACATACAAGACTTCAAAAAACCAGAAATGAAACCTTTACATAGTTTTATGTTTATATTCCAAATGCATAAATATGAAAATAGAAAAACATCCCAAAAGACATGTCCAGCAAGGTGAATCAGTTGTGAAGAAATCATTGGCCTCCACTAATTTTTATGATCCATACAAAGACTAGCAGAATGGTCCAAAGTAAATTGAAAGCACTCATCATATGTGGGATTTGTAAACAATGTTCAACGTTTAGATGAAATGTTAAGAACAGATCACCCTACGGACACATTTTGTACTTTCCTAGTTGCATTTTTTAAAAGGTCCTAATATTTAAAAAAAGGAGATTTTTAAGCAGTTCAAAAATAAAGCATTGAACAGAAACTGGACATAAATTAGGAGACATTTTATATTTGCCTGTCATGACCCCACCCCCGCTGGAGTCTGAATCTGCGGGGGAAGATGAGCTGAAACAAGAGCTGACAGAGATTGAGAGGGCAGCTCTGTTGGCCTTGGAGGAAACCGGGGAAAGGCAGTCAGTCCAGGCAGGGCTTTTCCGAATTAGTAAGGCCTGCAGACAGAGAGGAGCATGAGAGACAGAGCTCAGGAGAAGAGCAAGGACAACCCCCTCCTGATCCGAGAACAAGGAGGGAAGAGAGAAGGTGAGATCAATGCAGATTGAGCTGGCTATGAGGGAGGAGTGCCCCGCCCCCTTTCACAAGGCATACCTGGGGACTGAGATGTAAGGAGGTGCTGGTGGGAGAGACATTTGTCAGGAATGAGCGTTGAATCTGTGGAGCTTCAAGTGCACTTGCCAACACCTGGAGATTGCTGTACTCTTGTCTTGTGGGGCTTGCCCAGTTTCCCTGCTTTGCTGAACTTCTTGCTCTGGTTACTGTTTGGCTAACCTGACTTATTGGAAAGCTGGCCCTAGTTGCTGTGTGGCTAACCTTGCTTACTGGAATACTTGCAGCCAGAGGTTTCTGAAGGTGCATGTGAGAGCTTTGCTCGAGGACTTTTTAGTGGATATGGGGAAGTTTGGGGGCACAGTTGGAGCAACAAAGGGGAGTTAGACCTGTTCTCTGTTTGTGTGGCTTTCGTGCCATGGCCGGGTCATCACACTGCCCTTTTCCTTCATTTTACCATTTTGTCTCTTAAGTAAGCCTGAGGATCCTCTGAATAATAATATATAGATATATATTTTGGAAAATGGGCCCCATCCCTTTGCAAGACAATCCCTGCAGAGGCTTTCAATGCCATAAATATACTACTTGCAGCAGTCTGTCCCTTTTTCTGCATCAAAGAGGATGACAGCTTTAATTTTTGCAGCAATGTGAAGCACAAAAGTGAACATGAAGCAGCAGGCAGTGGCATATTGCACAGTTGGAATTTACTTATTTAAAAATCCCCAGCTTACAGATGCTTTAGCACTTTTTTGAACTCTGTGGAACTTCTTGTGATGCAAATAATTGTCTTGTGCTAACATGCTCTACTATGTTGTTTAATGATTCATCTTGCCACCGATCTTGATACTCAAGATACAGGTGAAACAAAAAACACCATAAAGCTTATCATCAAGAGGCTGGAAAAGCTTCAATAGAAATTTGGTAGCATTAATAGAAGCATCAAGCAGTTTCTGAGCTTTTCTGTTTTCTCTGTTCTATCTTTTTAAAAAGAAAGGGATTTGGGAAACAACTGTAATTAGTTAACTTTCCTTTGTGACATAAAAGCACATAATATTATCAGTTATTTATTTTCTCCAAAATTATTTATATAGCTAGTTTGAGTGGATCAGGCAGTAATCTGCTGATCCTTCCTGACTGCTATGGCAGCCAAGAAAATTAGGTTGGTGTGAAATAGTATGTGGAAATAGACAGCAGACTTGAAGGTGTTTAGATTTTTAAAACAAAGAAAAAATAAGATTCTAAAAGGAAAAAATAACAGTGTTTGGTAGGAAAGGAGCATGAATTACATAGAGCTTTTGTAGGCTTTCTAAAGAAACTCTGCTCTTCCTAAATTAAAAAGAGATGGCTATCTTAAATGGTTTATATGTTACTGTTTCCCAAAGCAGCCATTGGGGAGAGGAGCTACATAAAATGATTTCTATAATGTGTATGGGGAGATTCGTGAGGGTGCCCCAAGAACTGGAGAGCAAACCAAGAAGCAAATCTTGAATTTGCTTCCTGGAAAATATCTGCTTTGCGATTGCTCATAGAACGTTGTTTCTATCCATCCATGCATCCATAAAGCATCTTTTTCCACTGGAAAACCTGCTGTTAGATTCCTTTGGATTTTTGACTACTGTAGACTTCCCATTTATCCAGTTTCATTTTGTATTATTTTCCTTGAAAATGTGAATACATTTTAGCAATGCGTCACTCCCCATGCCCACAAGTATTTTCTGGGACTATTCCTAAAATCTCTGTTTAATTTTTTTTATAGTAATCTTGTCAGAGTATATTCATTAACTGGCAGATACATGGTTAACAAAGTAAGCATGGCAACAGACCAGCCAATGGGAGCTGACAGCCTGGGTGTGATTTGGCTCTGTGTGCTTTGCTGAAAATTGAAAATGAAACCAACTTGCTTGCTGAAACTGATATCTGCTCTGAGCTGCTGCTGGTGTTTTTGCTTATGTTATGTTGAAAGTATATACAAATGGTATTGTAAACTTAACATGTTAATATGTTTATAAATAAGTTATTGATTCTGCTGAATCAATCATCTGTGTGTTTTCTGGACTTGAATTTCTGCTGCAAACTCTAACATCTTATTGGAAAAAAAATAATATTGGAGGATAATAGGGCCTAGTGGGACACAAGAAAAGTCTCAGCAGGTACAATGACATGGATAACACTTTTTATTTCTATACCCTGGATCGGGGTATCAAACTTGATTTCATTGAGCACCGCATCAGGGTTGTTTGACCTCAGGAGGCTGGGGTGGGTGTGACTGGGCTGGGTGTGGCCATCTCGATGTCACTTGTGTTGGTGGCCAAGTGCTAAGGCAGGACTTCCTTCAGACTCTCCCTCGCTCTCATTATAATCTTCCTTCCTTTTCCTTTCCTCTTCATTCTCCTTTCTTCTTTCTTCCCTCTTTATTTTTCCTTTCTTGTTCTCTTCCCATCTTTCCTTCTTTTTCTTTCCTCTTTCCCTTTCTCCTTTCCTGTCCCTTCTTGCATGCTCAAATGCAAAAGAGGAAACATTTCTCTTTTTGTTTTGTTTTGTTTTGAGTTTATTTGGCTAACCCTCTGCCAGCAAAAACGGAGCCCTGAGGGGCTGTGGGTGGCCCCTCCAGGCCCCACTTTTGGCCTACAGCCATCTACCAGCAAAAATGGGGCCCATTTTCTCTGACAGAGGGTTGCAGGAAGCCTTCGTGGCTGAAAACAAGGCTCAGAGGGCCACATGGCCCCTCTGAGCTCAATTTTCTTTGGCAGAGGGCTGCAGGAGGCGATCGCTGCCAAAAACAGGGCTTGGGAGGGATGCGTTCAGCCTTCCAAAGCTTCGTTTTCGCTGCCAGAGGCACTGTGGACTGGTCCTTCGCTGTTTCCAGGGTGGCCCCATGGGCCAGATCTTAGCACCCCATGGGCTGGATCAGGCCCACAGGCCTTGAGTTTGAAATCCTTGCCCTGGATCAATGAATTCCTTGATCCGCTCCTGTTTATTCCATCTTTTACCCAATTTTTATTCTACTCTGGGCATGCTTATTTTTTTCAAAAGCTTTGTAGGAAATACTTTTTCTTCCTAGTTCTTGAAACTTTTTTTAAGTCCAAAAGTTGTATTATTCTTGTTCCTATCCTGAATATGGCAACCTCATCTTTTTCATGAGTAAAGGACTGTCACCTTTCTATAAATAAGAAATATCATCAATTATGTCAAGAATAATTTACTATCGGAACACAGAGGATATTGGATACTCAGAAAAAAGCAATATATATAAATATTTTAATAAAATATATTCAATATTTTAGCAATGATCTGTTAAAAAATCTTACAAGCAAAATCTTACAAGCACTTTTTATTTGTGGGATTCATGTCATTAAGAACTACCTGTAAGATTTTTACTTCACTTTCCTGAGAATAGATTAATAAGTATTCACCAGCATTTATGTTGTTTCTTCTCCCAGTCTGACCGAATGTAATAGTTTCCCTTGGTTCTGTAAGCACTCTTTTAATTTATCTTCAGTTAAAGTCAGGCGCTGTTCCAAGATTGAAACTGTCTGTTAGGAGGAGAAAATAATGAACACTATTTGATACCTGCTAAATGTATATTATGTTATTCATTTTTAATCCATTCAAGAAATTAGAACTGCAGCAATTGATGAAACTATTGATCAATTTATATTTATATGTTTATACACTTTCTTTTGTTACATTTATCATTTATAGTAAGTTTCTTCCAACAATCAGAATCAAAAATAGAGAGATCACTATATAAGCTTTTCTATCTCAGGCACTGTGTCTTGGACAGAATATATTTATCGTCATGCTTCTCTTTCTCTCATATGAATTATGGGGCAGTGATAACAATATGTAAATTCTCTCATACAGTACTGTGGAGAAAACACATCTTGAACATAAGCAGTAACTTATGATGATTCTTGGAATCCTGACACTTTTACATCTATTGTGTAAATCTTCAGTTGATGTAATGATATTGTCTTAGCAGGGATCATGTTCTCCCCATCCATTGTCAATGTAGCTGCTTTTGCAGATAAATGACTGAACTCTAAGACATGCTCAAAATAGGCTCCTTGGAGAAAAAATAATAATACGCAGACAAAAATCACATCAAAATATAAAAAGGATAACACAATCCAATTCAAAAAGACTCCTTCACATAACAGGACACTTGACTGTGTCTATCACCCACTCTACCCATCTCCATTTGCTATACTCAATCATGCATTTGTTTAAATGGATGGTTGGATACGTTGCAAGCCCAGGTTGAGCTGTAATTGGAAGACAGCTACTAGCAGGTTGCCTTAAATTGCACCAAGGAACAAGTTTGCACTCCAGTCAGAATTGCTGCTCAGGGATACAATTAGCTGAGATACCTAACATTCTTAATCGCATTCTGGTCTCTTCCATTACCAGCAACTCAGTTAAGATTACTTAGGATAGAGATAAGATACTCTCTGTAGTGCTCTCTCATTTATGAATGAGACAAAGGCAACCTTGAGTCTCAACCTCTGAGAAAGAAGTAATGGGCAGTTTTAGTGAGAATCACATCTTGGCCTAGCTTCCAAACAATGTAGGTTATTTCTCAATGTCACTGGTTGCCCAATGTAACTGACAGAAGTAAGGGAAACACAGTTACTGGCTTACTGGCTGTCCCAAAGTTCCATGGGCCCATGACATGCAATGGCATAGTGACTGTAGGATGGAAATGTTGCCTTTCCTAGTTCCTCCCAACATAAACTGTCTGCCTTTTTCTGGTAAGGGGGTGCTCTCTATCACAGAACGAACATTATCAATGTGACAGCCAGTTCTCCTTTTGTCATGCATTCTACCATAGTTCAAAGTTAGCTATCTTTCTGATTCTGTAGATAAACTGATTTTATTTTAGGTTAAGGGAAAGCATATTAGGTCATTTTCCTTCTCTACCCCTTGTAGCAGCAATCCCTTTCCAGCAGCTTAAATCTCTTTTCTTTCATTCTGGTATAGGTAACAAGTATGGCAGTATATCACCACTAGCACATATGCCACTAGATGAGAAACACTCACTTAAATTGTATGTGAATGTTATTTACATTCTATTCTAATTTGGAAAAAGGTTGTATATGCCTTCATATGTGACAATGAGGGTCACATAAGACAACTTTAAAAAGTGTTTAAGTCACCTTTCATGCAAAGCTGCTCAGTTTGGAAGCCCTTATTCTATTATTTACTGTAAAGAGATGGCTAAGAAATTGAAGGTTCCCTCAGATTCGAAGCTGATGAATTCATCTACAGATTTGATATACACCATTCTTGAAAATTTTGAAAGATAAGACTACAACTTGTAAAACAAAGTAACAATGTTGAATGAAGTGTTTCAAGTCTGGATAAAAACCGTATGTTTGAGGTCCCTTTCCACATGGGCCAACTTCATTTGTTAAATGTAAAACACAAAAGGAAATTTAAACTACTTAATAAGAGTTCAATTTCAACTCTAATACAGAGTCAATTTGAACTCTAATACAGAGGTGCAGGAATACTCACAATTGTCAGAACATCTAATTGCTCCACAATGTGTTCCAAGGCATTATTCAGTACTGGTGAAATGCCCGCAGATTCATCCATGGTTCCTGGTTCAGCCACAGGGTGCATTATTTCCCCTTTCAAATTTCTCTTTAGCATTGCTGGAGAAGGTAACTTCGAAGGATGCTGAAAGTCTTCATTGTTCACCCTATTTTGGTGCATAGACCAATGGGCTACAGATGGATTTGTTCTTAACTAGATTTACAGAAGAAAACAGAAAGCATATTTTTGATAATATCTTCAGCTTCATACAAAAATGGGTATTCATTTTTTCCTACTAACAAACATATCTAATAAAAGGTTTTATATCAACGACTATTTTTCTACTCCTGCTTTTGGACAAACATTAGATTGATTTCAACCTTCTATTTTGTTTGTTTCATTATTTTTGTTTTCTCTTCATTGTTTTGTAATTGATATGTGACCTGGCATCAAAAGATCCATAGCAGGGATCAAAATCTGTGGCTGTTCGCAGTTTGACATCTACAACACTGGAAGCATTGTCAATGGTGAGGAATGCTTCAAAAGAACATTTACTCAAAAAAGAGTCTTGCTCTCATAGAATTCCCTATCCCTTGCCCAAGCAATTTTTGAATCTGAAAAGTCTATTCAGAAAATTACAAAACAGCTTTGAGTGGTATGTATGGAGCTTATGCTGTTTAAAAACTTCACTGGGCATGTCCAAGTTTTCTGTACCTCAAAGATAGTTTAACAGTAGTCATGGATGATGGAATCTGTAGGTGCCATTTTACTACTGTTTTTTGAGGTATACAGAGAAAAATTAAAGACATAAAATTTAGCTCCTGTAATTTAAATGATAAGTTCTCTTTTTTTAAAAAAAGAAATCCTAACAGGAAATTATTGCTATCATCTAATTCAGGGGTCGCCAACCTTTTGGTCCTTAGGGACCACCAAACTCATAATTTTAAATCCTACTAATATGAATTTTGACTGAAGGTGGCTTGCTGATGTTGGTGGGAGAGGGAGAAAGAGAGGGAGAGGAAGGGAGATCTGATCTAACCTCGGAGGGCTGGTGGTTATGTTCTCTCCCTCTCTCTCACACACACACAAGTCCCTCACCCACCCTCACCCCCTCCAAGGCAGCCACATTCCTAACCTGCTTTTCAGCTCCATTCTTGGGGAGGGAGGGAGAGAGAGACGGTATTTTGTGATCCCAAATAAAGAACAATCGATTGGTAGGAAAACAGGGTGGGGGATTTTCTTGCAGACATTTTTGGGGGGATTTTCCCAGGGTCTCTGCAGAGAGAGACCCTGGGAAAATCCTCCCCAGAAAGTCTGCAGGAAAATCCCCCACCCTTTTTTCCCTACCGATCGATCATTCTTTACCGTCTCTAGCTCCATTCTCAGGGGCAGAGAGAGACTTTTGTCTTCATGCGAGGAAAGCAGCAGAAGCAGCAGCAGTCTTTCTTTCTCTCCCCCAAACTCCGCCAGAAATGAGTCTTTGCTGGTGCAGCCTCTTGGAGCAGGATGCCTTGCAGGGCCCCAAATATTCATTTCAGGCGGAGATTGGGAGAAAGAGACTTTTGCTGCTTTCCTTGTGTGCAGCCAAAAGCAGAAGAAAGAAGCAGAAAGAAGCAGCCCAGTGGCCAGGCCAGGCGTGTGGGGCAAGTTCCCCCCTTCCGCCCTTTCCCCCCTCCCCTCACTACCTTGTGTTGTTCACAATGTAAGTGACTCAAGCCTTGTGTTCCCACGCAGCCTGGATTAATTGCTTTGGGGGGTGCTTTGGGGGTGACATTTCGCTGTGGACCACCAAAATTTTCCCGTGGACCACCAGTGGACCACCATGATCACCGCCATGGCCCACTGGTTGGTGACCACTGATTTAATTCACTATTTAAAGAGAACATTGATATCTATTAACAAAGGCCACCTTTGTGAAATACAGTGAGCTGTGTTTACATAAATACATGCAAAGCTATCCATAAAGTAATTGGCATTCCATGAGAGCAAGTGTTTACACTTACAGGATAGGTGAAGTATCTTTGAAAATTTACCAAGAAAGGAATGACATAATCTAGAAAAATCTTGCAGATAAAACAAGATGGCCCAACTGATAATCAAGTGCTTAATTATATTAAATACTGCTATAATTCAAAGAGAAAACATCTTCAACTTAAGTTACTAGTCTGTATAATAACATATTAATAAATTTATTTGAAAATATTACATTTTTTTTCAAAATTTGTACTGCATTCTACAAGTGAAATAACAGTTTTTAATCTTTGACCATATTTTTCATAGTAATACATCGAACAGTTTTATCATTTCATTAAGATATATATTTTATCTTGATATTTATATGGTAATGACAGTCTTAAGTGCAAATGGGCTCTGACCACTCTGTTTTTAAGTACATGTTTTTCAATGCCATGATTCATTACAAAGCCTATCTATAAAGTTTTGTTTATCATAATTCTGTTATTGCACAGGAAGTAAAACTCTAGAAGGTAACCTGATCAATTCTTACTGTCAGGAAATTTTTCCTTGGTTCCAGATTTGATCTCTCTTTAATGAGCTTCCATGTATTGCTTCTTGTCTATCTTCAGGTACTTTGGAGGATAAGTCCTCTCTATTACTATGACTCTCCACTGATCTGCATCTTGTTAGATAGGGTCCAATGTTCAAGTCTTCAAGATCCTTCAGAATCATGAGTCTACCTTCCAAAGTATTGGCAATTCTCCCAGGTTTGGTATCATCTGCAAATTTGACTCTTAATCCCCTTTTATTCCCTTATCTAGAAAGTTTATTAAGATATTGAAGAACACTGGGCATAAGACAGAACCGTGAGGTACACCTTGAGCTTCCATCCATGTACATCTAGTTCCATTGAAGATTACATGCTCAATGCAGCTGGTCAACCAGCTGTGAATCCGTCTGGTCGTGGTACTGTCTATCTCACATTGTTCTGTCTTACCCATGCTGGCTTCTAGTGATCACTTTGTTTATTTCTAAGTGATCACAAATATGGATTTTGGTTATCTTTTCAAGGATTTTCCTAGGTATTGATGGTCAAGCTGATTGGTCTGTAGTTTCGTGGATGTACTTTTCCCCCCTTCTTGCAGATTGGAATCATAATCATCTTTTTTTCCCAGTCCTCTGGCAGTTCCCCTATGTTCCAGGAGCTCTGAAAGATTTTGTTCAATGGTTCAGAGATCACATTTGCCAGTTGTTTCAATACCCTAGGATGTAAATCATCTGATCCTGGCAATTTGAACTCATCTAAAGTGTAAAGTGTTTAAATCAATTTCTTACCTAGTTTGATCTATGTACTTGTTCTGTCTCCCACTGTGCTGCTTTTAATGGGTTGGATTAATATTTCCCTTTTGCATAAAGATAGATGCAAAGAAGGAAATAATAAACCTAAAAGAAAGTTCCTAAGTTCTCAATTACAGCTTTTGCACTTCTTCTTTGTAAATTAGCTTTATTTATTTCTTGCTTGCTAAGGGTGACAGTCAATTTAAATTTAGTAAAATGATGGCATCAAATAACAGCTACTTCTTTAACACACCCAAGAACTGCTTTACTTGAAGTAAAAATTATTTTTACCTTTGCAAATATTACAGGCTCTGCTTTTTTATATTGAGCAGATGTTTTCCATGATCATTTCATAACTAACAATTCTTTTTATATGACCATGTCAGTTGAATAAGATGTTATTTTCACCTTTCAGTAAAACAGTCTAGTTAAAGAAAAAAATAGCACACATTCAGAGTCTAAAATTGTCAAAGGTTCTAGAGTTTCAAGGTGAGAAATTCTTTATCTGGCAGTCAATTCTAAATATAAATGCTGCAGGAAAGCAGAAGAGCAGGCAGGAAAGAAGGAACGGAGACATATAAGTACTTTCATAAAATAGAAATATTCTTGTGGAAAACACAGCTGCTAAAAATAGCAACTAGCTCTAAAAAGAGAGTAAAGAAATAAATATTTGAATCCAATCTGTGAATGCAGACGGTTAAGATTAAGAAGATCTCATTAAAATAGTCCCACCTTTACAAGCAAAATAAAAACTCTTTGTTTAACTTTGCAACATTTATTTTTCAGACTATATTGTATATACAAGAAACATTGCAGGTCTTACAATAAAACAACTTCACAAAGATGCAGAGTTCTGTAATATCCATACCAGACAGATACTCTAGCAAAAATATCGTATTTTTATATATTTTTCAAGTCTACATAGCCACCCATCTCACAAAACAAGTGACTCTAGGCAGTGCACAACTAAGCTAAAAAGCAATAATTAATATTATTATTAAAAAGCATTAACACTATAAAAACACAGTTAAAAAGGAAACAATGGGCAAAGGGCTCTTAATAATAATGGAACCACTTCACTAGTTCAGCAGTTTCCTGGAATCATCAGATCTGATGGCACAATACCATTACCCAAAATAATTTATTATTAAGTTAATATTTTTATCCCACCTTTATATATATAAATAATTCAAGGTGTCAAACGTATTTAGTATTCCTTCCTTCTATTTTCCGCACAGCAACAACCCTGTGAGGTGAGTTAGGCTTCAAAATCTCAAACCAGGCTTCAAAATCTCACCTATGCCATTGTACCTCCCCCCCTGCCCCTTGCCATAGTAGTTTCCTGGCTATTCAAGAATGGATGGATTGTATTGTAACTTGACTGTTATAATAAGTGATAAACTGTACTCAAACTGAGATAAAAGAGCTACTAGCCATTTTACAAATCAAAACATGTCACATAACTTATTGGTCATAAACCTGACCATTTTTTAATTATTACTAAATATCTTTGGAATATGAATTACTGCTAGGGGGGAGGAGTGTTCTTCCTTGTCAAAATGAAAGGAAAATTAGTTGAACTGTAAACTCACTTCCCCCAAAATACTCAGGAAAAGAGTAAGTAATCCAAACCCACTTGCCACTGAGATTTTGAACCAAAATGGTCAGTCTTTCATGATACTATTTTTGTTTGTTTGGTTATAAAAAAGGGAGGATATTTTTATCCTAAATCCCTCCAAATGGTGGGAGAAGTAGGTTGTGGCTTCCAATCCTGAGAAAGCTGCCTATCCCTGACAACAGTAGTGGGAATTTTTAGAATAGCTTTTTGTACTCTGACCAATGAAAGAGAATCTGAAATAATGGCCATGCTTACACTCTACCCAATATTGAAGCATTTCAGCATTATCAGATTATTTTTA